AACTTGGTATTGTAAGGTCTTCATTACTCAGATCATAATGGATGGTATTAGATCAACAGCGGTGAACAATAACCCATTACTATTATAAAGAATATACAACGTTCAACACAATATCACATACAACAATCTAATTCTAGTGAAGCTTGATCCAAGGAGATGTGTGAACTTTGGACACCTCGTGTCGAGATTTGAAGTGTTGCAAGCTGCAAGTTGTGCAACGTAGCGGCGTCCACTTGGTCAAATGAGGCTGCCACACGAGAGTAATACCAATAAATAAGTTATAAATTATCTACAATCTCCAGGACACATGCGTCGTTATTAGGACTGTTGCTGGGATTAGTTGATCTTCCTACCGACATCATTATTTCATCTATGCACAGTTGATCTATGCTGCTGGTTAGGATATTAAATCAATAAATACAAATTAATGTCATTTATTTTCATGTAAATCAAATAGAACCTTAAGCAGAAAGAGAAATCTCGTCTAAATTGCCTTATTTACAATAACACACGATTTGAACAAAATTGCAATAGTATTTTTTATTATTAAATTTGCACCTATCTCAACAACAAAATGAGTTTTTCAATAACTTTTCCTACATTTGATAATAATAACGCCGCAGAGAAGACTATTGAAAGTTCGTAAAATATTATTGCCGGAATTGTTCAATTCTGTTCCTAAAAATGGTAATTCCAGTTAGAATAGAATAGAATAGAAGTGTCGGCGTTGAAGAAATAGGCCCATGGCCTGTTGCCGATTCTTGAACTTTTCGTGACTTGATTCACAAGGGATCCGGCCTTTGTCCTCCCTACTAGAAAATCTCTGATCCATTTGAATACATTACTCTCAATTCCCAAAGACTTCAATTTACGCAACAACCGCTCATGTGGGACACTGTCAAATGCCTTGGCAAAATCGAGGTACACTGCGTCTACTGGCTCCCTTTCGTCCAGCAGGCGGGTCGAAAGGAAATTGAAATCAAGACCAGAATGAACTCAGAGATAGAGAATCGATTCACTAATAGGCATTGTTGAAAATATTGAGGCAACTCCTTTATAACAAAGTCCTGTTTTTTATGAAAAAAACTTTTAACATGAATAGACCCTGAGCTGCATTGAAGATAATGGAGTCTTTATTTACCGAAATAATACCAATTTGTTCATTGTGAAACAAACCAAAAATCACGTTTAAATTTGAAAATATTTTTCCATCCATCGTATTTTCGCGGCATTTCTCCACAAGTAATTTTAGGAATGAAGAACATATGAAGGAAGGCGCTTTACGAATGATACAGGTATAAAACCGAGGAGTTTACGTTATCAATCAAATATTAATATCGTCGTGTGATTTCTGATGTTAAGTGTATTCGCATCAAACCACTAGTTATTTAAGTGAACATAGCTGTTCTTCACGACACTTTTCATAAAAATTCCTTGTCATACAAATTCACGAAGAATTTCTAAATCGCGCAATTTTCATTTAAGTGAGTGGAGAGTGAAAGTTTTCTCATGTCATATCATGCATATCAAATCACAGTGATGTCGGCGCTGAAGAATAGGCTCGATGTGGCCTGTCGCCGATTCTTGTATTTTTCGCAACTTGTTCACAAGAGAGAGAAAAAAATGTCCCCTGGCAAAACTTTTCAAAACTGACGATAGTAGTTTGAAATAGCTAATAAACTTCTAACATGTTCGTAAGGTGTCAGGCATTCAAGTCTGAACATATATATCTTCATAAAGCTTTATCGTGTCTGTTCTTGAACGAATTTATACTCGGAGAGTCAACGATGCCATCGGGGAGGCTGTTCCGCATGTCGGTGATTCGAAGCGAGAAGAAATGTCGCGTGGATGAGTTGCAGCGCAATTTTTTTTTAGTTTATAAGCGTGGCCCCTGGAGTTGATTCTTGTTTCTAAGTATAGATATCCTTCTGGGACCATGTATAAACCCTTATAATTGTATACTTCAATGAGGTCACCACGCAGAAGTCCATTACAGCGGCTTCTAATGTATGATCATTTGTACGCTTCCTTGCTGAATTATGATGTACACCGTAAATATCTTTGAATTTGTTCTGCAGTATGAGTTTCAAATTTAAAGTAGAATAAATTATTTGAGAATTACGAATTATAGAAAATAAACAACCCAATTCATTATTCGTGATTTTAAAAGGACATACGAGCCATCCAGTTACTAAGTTGCGCAATCTTTGCTAACGTGATGCGTTAACGAAAAGGTTGCATAAAAAAGAGTTATAATACATACATAAAATGTAATTCAAAATCTTCTGAATAACTATACTTGTAAATCCAGTGTAAACTTTTCAATATCACTTAATAATTATTTGTAGCAAGCTCACTCGGCCATCTCAATTTTCACATTCACTGCAAGGAGTCGTGAACCGAAGAAACGCTCTGGAAATGACTCACCAGGCACTCTGGGCAGTGGGCACGGTACATATGATGTCCAAGTACTCCAAAAACAACACATTTTCGAGACTCAAAAACTGCTAATCGCTGAACTAAAGCTCGAATTTATAGCATTAAAAGGCGTACATTAGAACTATTTGTATTGGCAATCTAACGTCTTGAGGAGCTCTCCAGCATCTTAACGAGACGCTCTGACGCACCTTGACTAGCAAAGACTGAACTGGGGGGCAGTTAATGTCACTGCAGGTCGTCTTTGTATCGTCAATATCTTGACTCGGTAACACAACTGCCAACAAAAATAATTTTTTGTGTATGTTAGGATGTGCATGTGCCTTTATGATATATGATCTTTACCAGAATAGGCAATTAGGGTTAGATTGAGATGTATCATTATTAATATATGATTCCCCTATGTTTGCGATATTATCTCGGGTGCTCTAGAGTCTAGAAAGGTGAAATAACCAGAGTATTTAGCACGTGGATCTGCTTAACGACATAAATGTTCATTATTAAAATGATATTTGCAATGCGCCATGCACTTATTTCAGGCAAAACACGGATAATCTAGCCTGGCTGACCAGAATTTTAAACACTATTCGAAAGTATTACCATTGCCGGCCTAATCTATGACCCAGTCCTGCTAAGTCTATGACCAGTCCTGCCAAGTCTATGACCAGTGCTGCACAATCTATGACCAGTCCTGCTCCAATCTATGACCAGTCCTGCTAAGTCTATGACCAGTGCTGCTCAATCTATGACAAGTCCTGCCAAGTCTATGACCAGTGCTGCACATTCTATGACCAGTCCTGCTCCAATCTATGACCAGTCCTGCCAAGTCTATTACCAGTGCTGCCCAATCTATGACCAGTCCTGCCAAGTCTATGACCAGTACTGCCCAATCTATGACGTCCTGCCAAGTCTTTGACCAGTGCTGCCCAATCTATGACCAGTCCTGCCCCAATCTATGACCAGTCCTGCCAAGCCTATGACCAGTGTTGCCCAGTCTATGACCAGTCCTGCCCAATCTATGACCAGTCCTGCCCAATCTATGACCAGTCCGGCACAATTTATCATCCAGGCCAGCACAATTTAATTCCAAAGCCTGCACAACTTTTGCCAAAGGACTACACAACTCAGCCCTTTAAAATCAATGATCAAGGCCTTGACTGGCCGGCAAAATCTTTGACCGCGGCCGTCACAAACTATTACTATTATTGTTACTATTACTATTATTAATACTATTACCATACTTTCATTATTATTATTATTATTACTTTAACTATTACTCTCACAATTAATATTACTACTATTACGAGTGCTTCCACTTTTACAATCAAGACCAGGGCCATCACCATTCACCAGCGCTTACCAAAGTTTGTACGATCAAAAAAAACCAATACAATTGTGACCGAACGATCTGTCAGATCACCAAAGTCTAGTTCATCATAGGTGGAAAATTTCATTATCATGTCGCCCACTCTGCCCCGCTCTCGTGCCTAATGCCCTCTTTGCCCCGCTCTAGTGCTAAATGCCCACTCTGCTCCGAAATCATGCCTATATCGTACACTCTGCTCCGCTTTCGTGCCAATGTTCATTGTCCTGGTCACTGACTGATGCATAGCAGCATCTATCTCAACTGAACATGGTTGATGCAGTATACAACTGAATATGGAAGTATTCTACCATCTATTTTAGATAAAGATTCTGTCTATTCAGTCTATTGAATACAATATCTACTGATTATGGTAGATAAATTAGAAACAACGGGCCCGCAGAAAAATGGACGTATGGCCCCTCTTTGGGTCATGACCCCAGCTAGTCACCACTGTTTTAGATAAGTGTAGTTGCACGATCATTAGCGGATGTTGATACCGTTCTCATATAGTTGACACAATGACTGGACAGATGAACATGAGCCATAACTTCCATAAGTGCACATACAAAGAGGCCTTGTACGTAAGGGTCATCTGGACTATTTTGTTCAACGGAACTTCTGCATGCAGTTCTCCTGGTAGAGGTTTTCTATTTCGAATGGTCCCTAGCAATTTCAATTTTAATAAATCAATTTCAAAAATGTATTTGAGCAAAATTTGGCGCATTTCGCTGCATAATTGTGAGTGCTAGCAGTGATAGAACAAATGATAGCACAAACCTTTCAATTCGGAAAGTATTAAGGAAGGGTTTGTAAATTGTTTCAGCCACTCGGCAGAGTTAAGAATGATAAATGAGGAAAGTTTGAGAAAAATTGCCGTATAATTATGGAATCAAGTTGTAGTTCAGAAATTATTTAAAACTTTTATTGAATTAATCATGAAATCACATAACTGTTATAAGTTCATCGAATGAGTGGCTTAGGCAATATCCATTCAGCTAGGTCAATATATATTTTGAGCGAATTTTGATGCATTTCGCTTAATAATTGTGTATTTTAATGAAAACTCCTTCAAGTTTCATACAGTGTTATCTTGCAATTTCATGTTAGTCGAAATTTATAAAAAGAATCCAAGCTCATATAATCCATCTTCGCTATGCACTTGTTATGAGGCTTGAGAATTTATAGATGTTTAGCGGCCATGTTTTGACAGTATGATGGGGTGGACTATGAGATTTAATTGTGGATAAAATGTCCAATTGTAAGCCAGGGACGCGTTTCATACCGGCCACGTGTGCTTGGACCCTGCTTTTATTATGTACTGCTTTGTTTTTTATATACCCGTGAGTTTCCTGCCCAATTATCTTGTTTGTTTCTTGGCATGGTTTGCCTATCGGATGTTTAGACCTGTTTACCACTTTCTATATCTTCAGCAATATTTTGTGGATGCTCATTTCAGGTGGTAATATGCAAGTTGAACCACTATATATCACTTGAAATCGTAGTAAATGCCTTTTCTTATAATAATTTCAATTTTTGTTATGTAAGCAATTTAAGCAAAAGCAACAAGCCAACAACACACAATTCAAGTTAGCCTATTTTTATTCAAGTTATTTATTAGGCGTTTTACTACCATTGAGTTTTGTTTTAAATTTGCTCGTGACATTGACTTTTTTTTTTAAATTTTATATTTGTTTAACTGTGGTTGTTGTAATGGTAGCAATTATTCATATTTTAACCAGGTTTGTCTTTCAGATGCTTGCACCTGTACCAAAAATGGGGAGTGGCAATACCAATATACCAAAGTGTCATCACACTCTTTGTTGTGCTGAACTTTTCTCTGGCTACATTCATGGATCCAGGAGCCATACCAAAAGGTGAGCCTGTTTGCTAATATATGCAAATTCATTGAAGCACATTCTGTAAGATGCAAAAGCAGAAAATATCTAGGTAAAGTACCTACTTTCTGAGCTGTTCAAAACTTCAAGGTGCAGTCTGTGCAGAGAAGAGCAAGAACAAATATCTAATGATCTAAAACACATCAGCATTGTAGCATAAATAGCCTAAGGTAAGGTATGTCTTGAAAAGATCTTGCTGGCAGCCAACAATTCTCTATTTAAATACCTTCTAACATATCTTTTTTGAGCTGAAAAACTGATTTTGGCTGCACAATAAATGCTAAGCCCTGCAAGGTCCAATCTAGAATATCAGGCCACAGGCCAAATTTTTTGAAAATTGCAAGTGAAAACTGTCATTTGATAGGCAATTTAGAAAATCAGGAGCAGCAATGGGGCATTTTTCTTATTTTGTATGAAAAAAATTAGGTAAAGTGTGTTAAAATGGGTTGAATTAACTAGAGGCAAGGGAATTTTTGTCTTATCTTGGGGTGGCTTCTGCATAATTTTCCAGAATGGTGCATAGTGGTGAGTTGCAATTGGATGCTGTAAGCATAAAAAAATTGAGCCAAGATACTTTTTGTAGCCTAAAAATATGTTTTTAAACCAGGTACATATGCCTAAACATGTACCTGGTTGAAATTCATAGAGGAACAGTGTCAGGCACAAAGCCAGGCTTGTGTATTTATAGCTCAATAGAACTGTTTTTGTTGCATCCTGGCCTACAACCATTCAAATTTTTTTAAACAAACCATCAAAGAAATAGTCTATGACTCTATGTTAGTGTCAACCTTGTCACACAAGTTTGCTTCCACGTTTCCTGCCTATTCTGTATTGCCAACAATTAACTTGATCCGGACCTGGGGCTGGATTATCAAAACATTGCTATATACATGTAGCTATTAACATGTTGCGCGAGTGCTGCTATGAAGATGTAACTCTAGTGGTGGTATTATCAAAATATTTGTGCAGAAACCTATGTGCGTAACGGAACAATTTGTGCGTAATGGTATGCCTGCTCGGAGGTGTTGTAAGGGTAGTTACGTACAAATTTTGAATGGGTGAAGTGATTGCAATTATTTAGTTACTAGTGACTAGACTCTAGTATAATACAAATGTATATTGTATAGGCTCTAAAATCATTTCAAGGTAAATCCTTTAAGTTTTATTAAGAAAAATATTTTTCTATATTTTGAGGAATTATATAAGTACCTAGGTAATGCACATAGTGAATTTTTTCTCGGTACATGCCAATAGAAAATGAGTAATTGTGGAGCTAAGCAATGGATAGATTATAGATATTAATTTATAATATATAGATATTAATATATATATAGATATTAATATATATTAATCATTAACACTTCTTTTGCTTGAAACAGCATTTGTCATTGATTTTTTAGGGTAAAAGCATCTAGGATGCTTTCAAAACACTGAAAATGTTTAACTAACTGGAAACAGAAGCATGGTGTTAGATGACACATGATGCAAACAAAGAATGTAAGCAAGCTTCTGATTGGCTGATGTGCAACGAGGTTGTATAAGAGCTAGTCTGATACGTCTTGCCGCTCTTGCGTACAACAGTTTTGTTAATGCCAAAATTAGGGTTTACTTGCACAACATGTATCTTTTTGTATGCGAGTATAAAAGGTAAGTTTTGATAATCCAGCCCCTGACCTCTGTGGTATTTAGACATCTATAGTACAACTTTGGCCGATGATCTTTACATATTTTCTCATATTTTTCACAAAATTTGTGGAGCCACAAGTTGATCAATTTTGCGACTGTGAAACAAATTTGAACCACGAGTCTATTTTTTGAGACATGAACCTGTTTTCCAGAATCCATACCCATGAGAACAATGTACTGTTTACACAAATGATTCATTTGCTAGCTGCAATTTTTTTGATCTGACAAAAATATATGATTTCAGAGCAAGCACAGTTCCATTTCAGTGAAACTATATGGAGTTTCATTTGGAGCTACTATATTTCAGTAAAAAGTATGATTTTTCCAATCTTGCTTGACCTTTACTCAGCATCTGAACATTTGTATGCTGATTCAAAGAAAGAATTGAATACAATTTCTCTGCCCCACCGCTATACCTCCTAACCCAGCCTAAACACCTGCTCAGCTAGCAGCTACTATACCTAACCAGGAATTTTGGTTTGCAATAGTCAGAGCTGATTGCTATCAGTTGATCAATGGCCAGCATAAAAAATGGCATCTGTCATGCGTTTGATCAACTTCTGCATTGTTTTTAGGTAATTTTCAATCAGATTTATTTTAGATAGCCATCTTTGGAGAAGGGTAAAAGGTTTATTCCACCAAAAATTTGCTGTTTGTAAAAAGTTCAAGATTCATTACCGATTCTGTTACCTAGTTGTAATGAGTGTTGATGCATACAGCGTCTCCAGATGAGGACAGAGATGACGACTTCCGTGCGCCGCTGTACAAGAACGTGGACATTAATGGCATCACAGTGCGCATGAAGTGGTGCGTGACATGTCACTTCTACAGGCCCCCACGCTGCTCTCACTGCTCTGTCTGCAATCACTGCATTGAGGTTACTTGCATTCTTAGCCTTGCATGCTCATAACTTCATAAGTTTTCTTCAATATCAAGGTTTGGTATAAATTATAAAAGCTTTATACACCTCAAAATATTCAGTTGTAATACGTGATGATCATTATGTTATTAGCATTGTATGTTATGTAGTGTCTTTCAATACCAACCTATGTTGAATGTTGCCGATGCATTATTTGGAGGTGTGTTTGATTGTAATATTTGGAGATTATTATTGCTTATGTATGACCGCGTATGATATGTGCTTATTTATTACTTATCTTTGTAGAGCTCAATGATAATAGTTATTATCAAGTATTGATGTCAGAACGTCATTTAGGTTTGCCGGCTACAATTTTATTAACAATTTTGTGTGTGTCAATCATATCTGTGCTTCATCAAAAGTGCTAGACATTGGACCTAATGTATCAAAGTACAAAATTTATGTTTTTTTTTTTTAAATTTTGGTATAATTTCAATTTATTCTTATTTGTATCAATTGGTATTATAGTTATAATAAATGATAATAACTAATAAAGTTTAACACTTTTTCATTATTGTTGATGTTATTTTTGTTGCAGACATTTGACCACCACTGTCCATGGGTGAACAACTGCATTGGGCGTCGCAATTACCGCTATTTTTTTATGTTCCTTGTGTTCCTGAGTGTTCACATGGTGTCCATCTTTGGGTTCAGCCTCATGTACGTGCTGGACTTCAAGGAGGAGAAGCCTTTATCTCCATTAATCAGGTCAGTTTGTTGGGTGTTATTTTCAAGCAATAGCGCCTTTATCCCCATTAATCAGGTCAGCTTGTCAGGTGTTATGTTCAAGCAATAGCGCCTTTATCTCCATTAATCAGGTCAGATTGTCAGGTGTTATTTTCAAGCAATAGCGCCTTTATCCCCATTAATCAGGTCAGCTTGTCAGGTGTTATGTTCAAGCAATAGCGCCTTTATCCCCATTAATCAGGTCCGCTTGTCAGGTGTTATGTTCAAGCAATAGCGCCTTTATCTCCATTAATAAGGTCGGGTGTTATTTTCAAGCAATAGCGCCTTCGTCTCCATAAGTGATACATATCTCCAGTAGGACAGATTTATATCATTAGTCTTCCTAAATTGCAAGTTCACCAAGAATGTGAACGCAAAGAAAACGCCAAGAAAATAGATTGAATTTACACGATTTTTCTTTTGCATTTCAGGTTAGATTGTGTTTTTTATTAATACACTGCAATCATGATTTTTTTAGTTCTAGGTATACATTTTTTACTCCGTCGTTGTTCTGCAATGATTGCTAACTCACTATTTTATAATAAGATATTGTATGAAAATACAGGATGACTGCTCCTGTTGAATGATTTAGTAATTGTTTTCATATTCTTTCCAGTATCTCTAAGAACCCATCTGAGCCCATGATCGCAAGGTGAGTTTCTCAAAATAAATTGTTGATGATAACCTTAAAACATTGATTTGTCGCTACTGATAACCTTAAGACGGGTATTTGTTCAATTTGTAGTAGAAATATTAATCATTTCGTATCTTGATGTTTATGGTGACAAACTATTAGTCGAAAGTAAATCTAGAAAAAAGAATTTTTCTCGATAGATGCTTGCTATTGATTTGATGAAAATTTCTCTGCCAAATGCCAGCTCAATCAAAGCCTATTTTTTTTTATTTTAATCTAAGATCTATTGGCAGGATCTTGCTAATTTTATTCATGTATATTGTATAAAAAAATGTTTATTGATTCTGTTGAGTGATTTCCAATCTTGATTGCAAAATCTTTACTACTACGTGAGAATTCCGCATCATTACGTTTAAAATTGTAATTAAGATGCTACTACTTCATTTCCAGTTGCGTACAGATATATTGCCATCCTCTGTGGGCTGTGCAAGGCTCAATGACTTTGTTTCCAAGACGAAGAAATAACTTTAACTGAACCGTAGCCTCGAGGTCCTCACACATATTCTCTGCGTGTACTAGAATAATTTAATCTTATAATTAATGATTCAGAAATGTGTCGTCATTATTCATCATAATCGCTCATGTATAAGACGTGCATCTCTAAAACCGTGTACGTTTCCATCACAGTTTTATCCAATCTTTAAGCTGCTACTGAAAGGATCAAATGATCATTGCATTTTTAAAATCAATCGGCAATATCTCTTAATTCTTCATATTCAAGCAAACTAGTTTCATTATTGCTTTTCTTGTGATTTTGAAAACTCTCAGCTGTTCAGTTAACTAGGTTGTTATTTAACAGAAACCAATCTCTCTACATGACGTCGCCAGTGTTAGAGTGCTTATCAACATATTAGCTTTATTGCTATTATCTTCTGAACGTGGCTTATGACAGCAGCGTTGTGGTGATGATGGTGATATCTGAGCAGCATCGTGGTGATGATGGCTATATCTGAGCAGCATCGTGGTGATGATGGCTATATCTGAGCAGCAT